TACGTGGTAAACCAGCTTATTGGACTCAGATCTATCATTTGTATGTGTTGGATTCAAGCAAAATCGGGTGAAAAACAGTTGCATGGCGGCAACTCGGCGAGTCGGGAAGAACGACTCGGCGAGTTGAGTCGCGAGTCCCCGATTCCTTCATTTTTAGCAGTGTTGAGTGGAACCAGTGAGTTAGAGAGTGGACTCTGCGAGTTGAAGGTAGACTCAGTAATGGAGGGACTCGGCGAGTTGTTCATACAACTCGGCGAGTCCAAGGCAATCTTCTTAAGATCAAGAACAACTCGTCGAGTATGTTCATACGGCTCGGCGAGTCGGATGAAGATTGTCTGAGTTCTTGGATCAATAGGGTACTCGTTGAGTCGATGCTATACTCGACGAGTAGCAGCGAGTAGGATTGAAAAGTGAGAGTAGGACTCGGCGAGTTGGGTGGCCCAACTCGGCGAGTCAGTCCAAATGAGAGTAACTTTGACCAAGGGTGAAAGAGTCATTTTACCCAAGTGCAGTGTTTAGTATTTGATTGAGTGTGTTTATGGACTTGTAGCCGGGGAGATACAGGAGCAGCAGCCGTTAGCTTCCAGAGCCACACACTCAGCAGCCAGTTTACGAGGTGAGTTTCCTTCCAGTAGGGACGGGTCTAAGGCCACAATGCCGGCCCGTTCAGTTAGCAGTAGTTTCCGGACTTTGGTCCGATGCAGTAGCTAGTATGTTTGATGCCTTCGTGGCTCAGACAGGATTTGTATGCTATGTTTTATGTGTTAAGTGTTATGTGTTCCGGGCTACGGCCCGATGTAGTATGCAGTATATGTGTTCATGCTAGATGATGTGTTATGCTATGCCATGTCCAGTCAGTCAGTTCCGGACTTCGGTCCGATGCAGGGGACAAGGTCCCAGTCGGTTCCGGACTTCGGTCCGATGCAGATAGTTCCGGACTTCGGTCCGATGCAGTTAGTTCTAGACTTCGGTCCGATGCAGTTAGTTCCAGACTTCGGTCTGATGCAGGGGACAAGGTCCCAGTCAGTTCCGGACTTCGGTCCGATGCAGTTTCCGGGCTTCGGCCCGATGCAGTGGGTCAGGCCCAATATGTGTTTATATGATACTGTATGGTATGTGGTAGTTTGGGGGAGCTCACTAAGCTTCGTGCTTACAGTTTCAGTTTTGGTTTCAGGTACTTCCGCAAGCAAAGGGAAGAGCTCGGGGTGATAGCATCGCACACACCACAGCTTAGCTTTTATCCTGGGGATGGTTTTAGTTGTCTTGATTTGATATAGTATGATACATTTTTTCCGCACAGTATTTTATTATGATTTGGGATACACCGCGTATGTTTTTATGTTATGATACTCAGATTATGGTTTTGATTACATTGAAAAAACAAAATTTTTGGGTCGTATTTTTGGGTCATTTCATTTATTGTCGTTGCAAACTGATATTAGTGCAAAACCAAGCGGGGGAAAACTCTTAGTACAAGGTGACGCCTTAGACGAAGCCCAAAAATATGTCCAGTCGCGAGGACTCGAAGGTACCAGTAGCTCAATGGTTTCAGATATTTAGCACTTGTGATAGATATATGTGACAATGTAGAAAAGAAGACAGTTGAGGATGTGTTGGTCGTATGGGATTTTGTAGGTGTTCGTCTTGAGAAGCTCCGAGATCTTTTCGTGAAAAGAGAGTTCTATCTAGTTTCTTATTGTGCAAATTCACATAGAATCTGAATCGTATGATCCGTTTAAGATAATTAGGGGTCCGATCAGCCAAGGGCAGCGACCAATGTTCATTAGATTCCAAGTAGGGGAGAGTCGCCTATCTAGGGAAATAGTCTAAGGACTACGTAGACCTCAGTATGATAGGGAAAAATTGGGATAGTTGCTAAAGATTTTGATTTATCATCATCGATTCACGTATTAGGTATTTGGATAGGATCTGGTTTAGGATCGACGTGAAGGTCCCCTTGTTAGTTCTTGTTTGATAAAGGCTTTGAGACCTGAGATGTGATTCGAAAACCGGATAGTATTGTTTAGGTTCCTAAAGTTTAATATTTCATTTTTTCTTAGCTACTATTATTAAGGGACGTGGGATGATGGTTGGGTTACTTCAAGTTAGTGGGATGATGATTTTATACTTATAGGCCCATTGATGTGTTACTTGTGAGTCAGGCAAGCTCGTTTGGGATGATAACAAGATTGAGGAGTTGTCATGAGCTAAAGGAATGTTAATCAAAAACTTACAAAAATGTGGGAGGATAGTCACATGTTTATCGACCTGTATTGGTAGGTTATGAGATTATAATTGGTATGTATTATATGTATGCTTAGACTAGTTAGTATGATTGTCCGGTAATTAATTGACGAGGGTACAGTTTGATGCAAAATATGAGACCTTGGGTGCAAGGTGAAAAAGTGTACAAGTCTGGATTGTACGTGTTGATGGAAGATCACTAGTCAGCGGATAGGATACACCTATTTCATGTAATTGAGAATGTTGATTGGTAAGGAGCAGGAAGTGGCATTCCTAGATGAGAACGCTAAATACAATAGAGTTTTAGGCAAGATTCTGACTATTGATTAAGACACTTAGGGTTATTTGGCATATTATGGTTGGGATTATGTTCCTACACCGGGGCATCAGTATATATGTATGTACAAGATTATTGCTCGAGTGGAGAAGGTAGCATATTATTTGAGGCTACTAGATGAGTTGAGGTTGATCCCTAACACCTCCATGTGTCTCAGATTCAGAAGTGTTGGTGGGTGAGACAATGGTGGTTCCATTGGAGAATATGCAGATCGTTGAGCAGTTTGTTGACTTAACGACGATGTCTGATTTAAGCGGGGGAGAGTTTTAACTAGACCTAACAAACAGGCTGTGTCGTGTCGGGTTGAGACATTAAACGGGTTGAGGGTGGTTGACATGGACACGATACGTTTAATAAACGGGTTGGAAAACCTGACACAGACATGACTCGGTTATAGTCGTATTAACTCAATACGAGCCGTGTAACCCGTTAACCCATGAAACCTGTCAAACCCGCCAAACCCATGATTTTGGCATAAAATGGTAAAAAAAAAAATACAAAGTTTACATTGTCATCAGATATCAAGAGCAATAGAAATGTAAAATGTAAAGTTCTAAGTAATCATCTGAATGCCATGAAATATCAAAAACAAAAGAAATTTAATGTTCAAGTAGTTCAAACCATGATTTTTTTGGATTGGTGGTCCTTTTGAGCTTGTTTTATTGTGTTTTTGGTCCTTCTAATTAGTGAAATGACTGTAATACCCTTAGGTTATTTATTTATCATTTCTTTCATTTTTCTTAAAATCTAAATACTTATTTATTTACTTAACTAATTAAAAAAATAAAAGTCTCTCTCTCTCTCTCTCTCTCTCTCTCTCTCTCTCTCTCTCTTCCATCCCACCATCTTTCCTTCCCAAAGATTCGGTAATATCTTCGGCTAACCACCATTGTTCAATAGTCTTGAAGCTTTCGATCTTCTCCTTCACTTTAGTATCGACCTGGATCTTCAATAGTAAACTCTTTGTTCTTCAGATCTTTTACTTCTTCCCCATCATGAAAGCTAGAATCAATTTGTCACCGACATCGACGTCTTTCAAATTGAGCAAAACAGAAACCAGATCGTATATACACACGATCTTCTTATTAGGGTTACAATTGGTAATGATGAAATTGAACTTTGAGGTGAGTTTATCCGACAAAAGTGAGGTTCAATTGATAGAAATTGAGAAGGGAGGTTGCCTGAGATGCAACACCAGTGAAGTGGTTGCTTGAAATTTCAAGCCTGAGATGCAACACTATCGGAGTTCACATCACCGTCGTCTCTACTTCCTTTTGAATGCCTACATTCTCTAAAATCACAGTTCCCGATGTTATCTCCCAGATTTCCATTCTCCCCAACAAACCAATTGGGTCTCCATCTTATTTTGGTTTACCGATTTTCAAACATGATTTAAATTATCAAATGGGGTTTGGTTTTTTTTGGTTTGGGTGAGAGTTTCAAACGATTTCAATTTTTCAAAAGCTTTTAGAATTGTTTTTTCTTTTCTGGAGGGGTAATCGGAAGCTGGTCATGTCCATAGTTGAAGGGTTTCACCAGAGGACGTCATAGGTGAAAGGCAAACTTCATTTATAATGATGATGACGGCTACGATGTACAGGTAACGGAGGGTGCTGAATATGGTGGGTTGGTGGCTGGTTGGAGGTGATGAACAATGGTGGTTGGCTGAAGATATCACCGAATCTTTGGAAGGAAAGACGGAGAGAGAGAGAGAGAGAGAGAGAGAGAGAGAGAGAGAGAGAGAGAGAGAGAGAGAGAGAGAGAGAGAGAGATTTATTTAGATTTTAAAAAAATGAAATGAAAAATAAATAACCCAAGGGTATTATAGTCATTTCATTATTTATAAAGACCAAAAACACAATGAAACTAGCTTAAAAGGATCACCAATCCATAAAAATCATGTTTTGATTAAAACCCTAAAAAATTATATACCACAGGACCATTTTCGCAAATTTGTCTTATTTTCTTAATTAACCTCATTGTGCAATTGTAATGCCGCCAAGGTTGGAGCATGCTAAGCTACTTGGCGAGTGGGCTTGAGACAGCCACTCGGTGCAGTCTAATAACTCGTGTCCTTCAGGAAGGCCTAACATCGACCTGTCCAGACCCATGGACTTAAAGAAAAGCCGGCCAATAAGTTGACTAAAAATGTCCACTGTCAAGCTGAATCGCAATAGACAAAGTCATGTACAAATCCATAAACGTAACACACAAGCATATCATGCTCTTCAATCCATCCATCCCCAATCGACCAACTACAAACAAGATCCCATAATCGCGTAATTCCATGATTTTTCAGAAGATTTCATCCGAAGTCATCAACAATTAACATAACACAGATCACAAAATCCCACAATTTCAAAACCCCATCAAGAATATCCCTAAATTGTTCTTGTATGTTTGGAATTTTCTCTCTGAAATGGGATTAGATGCTATCAAACCCTCACCGGTGCCGACCGGAGAAGAAAACACATCAAATCAATCCACTTCGCTTCTCTCTTTCGACACAGACATCACCACCACCCCATCAAAACCCTCTACCACCACCGTCCTCCTCTTCTCCCTCCTCTTCACCACCTGCGTCGCTCTCTCCGCCGCCTTCGCTTTCGCCTTCCTCTTCTTCTCCTCCGTTACATCCACCAATCACCACCACAGCACCACCGCTATCCAAATCGCCCGTCCACTCAGTAAACTCACTCACCCAGTCGTCATCCTCATTTCCTCAGATGGGTTCCGATTTGGGTACCAATTTAAAACCCCAACACCCAACATCCAACGACTAATCAAAAACGGAACCGAAGCTGAAACTGGATTGATTCCAGTTTACCCAACGTTAACCTTCCCAAATCACTACTCAATCGCCACCGGATTATACCCTGCTTATCACGGAATCATAAACAACAAATTCATTGATCCTATCGCAGGTGATACTTTCACAATGGCCAGCCATGAACCCAAATGGTGGCTTGGCGAACCCATTTGGGAGACAATCGCGAACCAAGGGCTCAAAGCGGCTACATATTTCTGGCCTGGATCCGAGGTAAAAAAGGGTTCTTGGGATTGTCCTGTAAATTACTGTGCACCCTATAACGAATCAGTCCCATTCGAAGATCGCGTTGATACTATCCTCCATTATTTCGATTTATCAAATGAAGAAATCCCTGTTTTCATGACATTGTATTTCGAGGACCCTGATCATCAAGGTCATCAAGTTGGCCCTGATGATCCTCAAATTACAGAAGCTGTTAGTAACATCGATGGGTTGATTGGTAGATTGATTAACGGATTGGAAAAACGTGGTGTTTTCGAAGATGTTACCATAATCATGGTAGGCGATCATGGAATGGTTGGTACTTGTGATCAAAAGTTGATATTTTTAGACGATTTAGCTTCTTGGATCAAGATTCCGACAGATTGGGTACAATATTATACTCCTGTGTTATCTATTCGTCCACCTTCTGATCAATCCCCTTCTGAAATCGTCGCCAAAATGAACCAAGGATTGAGTTCAGGGAAGGTCAAAAATGGCGACAAATTGAAAGTTTATCTCAAAGAAGACCTTCCTGCGAGGCTGCACTATTGGGAAAGTGATAGGATCCCTCCGATTATTGGGTTAGTCGATGAAGGGTTTAAGGTTGAGCAAAAGGACTCGAAGAGTAAGGAATGTGGAGGTGCACATGGATACGATAATGCATTTTTTTCGATGAGAACGATTTTTATTGGTCATGGTCCTCAATTTGCTAGAGGTAGAAAGGTACCATCTTTTGAGAATGTTCAAATATATAATTTAATTACTTCGATTCTCAACATACATGGAGCTTCCAACAATGGGTCTTTATCTTTTGCAAAGAGTGTGCTTTTGCCTCATCATTGACTGACGTTTGAGTGTTGAAATCTGTGCATGTTTTAAGGCAATGCTGTTTAATTGTTGTAGATGTAAAGTTAATAATGGTGCTTATAGCTTAAGATGCATTGGTTCATTGGTTGAATGTAACTTCTGAGTGTTTGAATCTTGTTTGCATCTAGAAAGGGTGGCAATCTTATAGTGTTAGGTTGGCGAGTTGACACTCAAAAAACTCAACCAGGACACCAACCATATAATTATTCGTGTCATGTTTTTCAACACTAACTCGCATACGACTTGCCTAATCCGTTTAATTATATGAGTTTACATGTTTGTGTATCGTAATTGGGTTCGTATGTCATACTTGATTTACCGATTTATTGATTTACTTTTACCGATTTGATTTATTTGATAAATGTGTTGTTTATTGTGTTTAATCTAAGATAATAAACGGCTTGGTGTGTTAACCTGCAAGTCTTTTCCCCACCCAAACAAGATCCTTATAATAAACGGGTTATATGGGCCAACTCATTATGACCCGGACCTGTTTAAAGTCAACTCAAAAGTGTTGTCTGTGAGAATTGCTACCTTACATATAGACCAGCGGCGGACCTTAGTGGAGCCCGGGCCACTGCTCAATTTCCGACACGTAGTGTAATTTTTTTTTTACTATTAGGTGCACGGCTTGAAGTACGAGTGACACCCTTTTTAAAACATTCTGCGTCCGCTAGTGATATAGAGAAAGATTAAAGTTCCCAAAACCAATACTAAAAATGATACGCAAACTAAATTGCTAGTGATATAGAGAAAGATTAAAGTTCCCAAAACCAATACTAAAAATGATACGCAAACTAAATTTAAAGCAGACAAAACCAATAAAAAAAATGACACACAACCAATGAGACTTGAACTTATAATATCTAATTTGAAAGTAATTTCTTATCGTTATACCAAAGACTTTTAGTACCAATTATAGTTGCATGGGAAAGATGTAAAATATGATAATTAATGAAAATAACATTATTTAAAAACGACTTTTATGACCAATTTATGATCTATCAATTTATTTAAATTGTTGTTAAGATATCAAATCGTCAAAGAACAGTGTAAGACTAGGTTTGGGGGTGGGGTGGGGGGTAACACAAAGACTAAAGAGTTATAACTTTTTTTTATTATATAATTATTTCTATTAAATATTTAATTAACATTTCATTTATAAAATATAAATTTATAACAATAATATAATATTTTCAGTATTTTTATCTTATTTCAATATTTTTTATTATATATAGTTCTTTTTTCATACTCAATTTTTTCCCAAGGGTTCTTGACAAATGAGTTCCAAGGTTTTTTTTTTCGGTTTTTGATGAATAACCTGAATTCAATTCTATATTTCTTGACAAAACAAATGTGTCACGAAATCTGATAGCCTCCGGTCCTTTTGCTTAAAAAATACAATTATAATTAAAAAAAAATCTAAAAAAGTGTTGAAACTCCAAAAATACCTCATTAGTTGTTTAATAACATCATTTTTTAATTCAAAAAGTCCTGCTTTCATGTATTAACCGTTGATAAATGCATGGATTGCGTTATGATGAAAATCACTTTAAACTTTTATCAATCTCTGTCATCAACTTCACACAAGATATTGTTTATAATTTAGGCTATTTTTCGCACCAAACACATGATGAGGGGCTCTCATTGGGAAGATATAAATACCAAGCAGTCAAAATATTGTCAAAATGATGCGATATAAGTAATTTATTATGTTGTTTCCTAAAAGAATTTTTCCTGATGTATGTCCATTCATACATTTGCTATATTTTTAGCATATGCACGATCCCTTTACTAAACCACCGGAAAAGAAGCAATGTTGGATAATATAGATGTAATCTTGCAAGTTGGCAAGTTTCCTCTGTACCACATTGGCAGGGGAAGAAACATTGTGTATATTTATAAGTCTTTTCCCTTGATAGACCTTTAAGGGCTTTAGTGGATCAAAGGAATAAGCCAACCCATACATGCACGCCTAGCCTAGCACTAGCTGATGTCATGAGTGTGAGAAATGACACGATTTAGGCGCACGACGAATCGGTCGCTTGGAGTTGAGGGACTTTTATTTTTGGCGAAGTTCGAGTCAAGTCAGTTTGACCGATCTAGTCAAACGGTTGACTTCGTATACATGGCAACATAATACTCTGAAAGGGTTAGAAAATGACTAGCTTGGAGGGGCCGACTCATGTGGGCCCCTTTTATGCCTTCTAGGGTTTCGATGCCTATAAATACAGCTAGGAGTCGTATTTGAGACTCACGAATTTTGAAGCTCTCTCTCTCTCTCTCAGCGATTTCTTATACTTTCTCAATATTCACTTTGCGTTTATCGTTTTCCATTACTCTGTTCCTTACAACCAATAGAAGTGAAGTAAAAACCTTTAAGGACAAGAGTCTGATTCGTGCAGTTATTCAACGTTCAAGATCAGTTGTTAACAGGTTGGTTTTACATTATTGTCTTGTTTTTAATTTCGTCCAATAACAGGACACTCTCCTTCTACCTTTCTTACAATCAAATCTAATCGAGAAGGATTAATCTGGTTTCTGGATGAAACTTGGTAATCATATTAATAATAATTGGATCTATTATTCGTAACTAATCAACATATAATTCTCAATATTATTTGTCGGTTTCCTTGCGTGTCTATTGGTTATGATTTACAACAATCTTAAAGATTTTTTTAATTTGTGTTCATAAATCAATAGACTAATGAACATCTAAATCCCAACTGCTAGTCTCCACTACATGAACCAAGAGTTTGCCAAGCTTGAACGATTCAATGGTCAGCACTACACCCGTTTGGCTGACAATGTCAAGTTCATGCTTCATGTGCTGAAGCTCGCCTATGTTTTGGACCCAAAATTGGCCCCAATTCCTGATGATCCATTTCCCGAGGCAGGGAAAAATGTGGATCCAACGATCATATCTGATCTGGAAAAGTAAAGGCTCTACGTAGAGAGTCTCAAGAATTGTGTGTGGGTCGCATCAAGAACTCACTATCTGATCGACTCTATGATATTTACATGCTCAAGTACAACTCATATGAGGAAGGTACCAACAAGTACCTAGTGTCAAAGTACCTCGAGTTTCAAATGGATGATGATAAACCTATCATGGAACAAGTACATGAACTCTAGGTCATGGTCAATAAGTTGAACGTGCTCTCCATCTCGATACCAGAACTCTTTCAGGTTGGTGCAATCATCGCAAAACTTCCACCATCGCGGAAAGACTTCTCTAATAGAATGATACACAAATCTGAGGACTACTCCTTGGATGATTTGAAGAAATACCGTCGTATTAAGGAGGAAACTCTCATCAGGGACAAGCGTGTTAAAGTCAGATCGAGTGTGAACCATGTATCAGTTGGGGGTTCTTGTCATAAGACCAAGTTTGGGGGACAAAACAAAAGAAACTTGGTACCCAAGAAACAAAGCTTTAAAAAAACTAAGTCATTAGAATCCTAACTCAAATCTGTAGAGGGTAGAATCCTAACTTAATATTGGTTACTAATGTCAAGGAAATGAACTTTTCTTGTTATTTTGTTTGTTCTATTTCTTTATTGCATAAACGTTCAACACACACTAATATTAAGAATATTGAAAAAAAAAATTCAAACTAAAGGAATGTTAAAATACGACTAAAAAGATTTTGAAAAATGTGAAACTTGTGTGAAATCAAGGTTTACAAAGACACCATTTCCACCAGTTAAGAGAAATACATCATTACTTGAGCTGATTCATTATGATATATTTGTATTAAATGGAATACTTGCTCGAGGAGAAAAAAGGTATTTCATAACATTTTGTGATGACTCCAATTGATATCTACATGTTTATTTTCTGAGATCAAAAGATGAAGCTTTTTATGCATTTAAACTGTATAAGGCTTAAGTCGAAAATCTACTTGAAAGACACATCAAAATTCTTTGCTCGAACAGAGGCGGAGAATACTTCAACCAAGAGTTTTGACACATTCAGTGAAGAGAATGGAATCAAACATGAGAGAACTTGATCATATACTCCCCAACATAATGTTTTGGCTGAAAGAAAGAACCGAACCCTTTATGATATGGTTAGCTATATGTTGAACCAGTGGTAGAGCCAACAATTTTTATATGGGGGTACAAACATTATCAGTAAATATTCTATGTAGTTATCATATTTAGGGCATTAAAAAACATCATATTATCCCTTTAGTTGGGGGTACAACAACATAAAAGATGTTTAAAAATAATTATTTTATATACATAAAACAAATTTTTTGGGGATGCTATAGTACCCCCAACATCCCACGTAGTTCCGCCACTGTGTTGAACCAATCGGGTCAACCAAACAATCTGTGGGGGAAGCACTATTGACTGCTTGTTATGTTCATAATAGGATCACTAGTCGTGTGATTCTTACAAGCCCATATGAGTTTTGGAAAGCTAGAAAGCCTAACATAAACTATTTGAAAGTGTGGGGGTGTGTTGCTTATTATTGAACTCCCGATCCAAAGCGAACCAAATTAGGAGCACAAGCTAATAAGAGTATATTTATTGGATATGTTGACAATAGCAAGGCTTACCGATTATTAGATATTGAATAAGGTGTTGTCGTGGATCCAAAGATGTGGAATTCTTTGAGGACAAGTTTTCTAGGGATGATGAAAACTCTAGTTATACAACACCTACAAGTACTTCTTAAGAAATACTCCCACCTCCTCCTATTGTGGAGGAACCAAGGACAAGATATGTCATCTTTTTCCATTAACTTGGATGATGATCCTAAGACCTTTACTGAATCCATGACATCTAGGGATGATCCTTTGTGGATGGAAGCCATCAATGATGAAATGGACTCAATTATGGGTAATGGAACTTGGGAGTTAGCTGACCTACCCAAGGGGAGGAGACCCATAGGATCCAAATGGATATTCAAGAGAAAATATCATCCAGATGGATCCATATCTGCCTATAAAGCAATATTAGTTGCTA